CCCCCCCCGGCGAATAACACCTCCTTGATGGACGGCACCCATGCCAGTGGGGCGTGCCGTTTGGTAAGGGCCCTCCCTCCCCTCGTCCCCCCCCCTCTGCGGTGTTGTCTCCTCCATGTCCAGAGACAACACCGCTGAGGGGAATCCCGGCGCACTTATGTAGCTTCAGGGAGAAAAATCAAAAAAATAATGTTTGATTGGAGTGGGACTCGAACCCACGAGGTTTCCCACTAGTACCTGAAACTAGCGCCTTAACCACTCGGCCATCCAACCATCGGATGAAATATCGCCCATGAAACGGGAATATATACCAAGATTAATACCCAAAGCCATGTTGAATGCGCACGTGCGAAGTACACGTGTCCAAGCATGCTGATGACGGATTTCGGGGCCTGCCCTGCTGTCGTGGAGGAGGGGGGGATATGCCTGGCGGAAAGGGACAACCAAAGGGAGGGCGCCATATCTCCCCCCCGGCAGGGAGGCGGGATCTCTCTCCGGGAGGAGGGCAAGATCGGCCGAGGGGAAGGTCGACACACGCGCATTTACTCAGACGCACGGAGCCGAAAGGGAATGCGCTGCAGGGAGGGGATTATCTATGGGGTTTTTGTATTTCTGATCTCCCGCCGTCCAGGCCGCCCCAGGAAAGGACATATGCCCGGGGAGGGAAAGATGACCACACGGGCAGCGCGCGTTTGCGCGCACATATGAATATGTAGGTCAGTGCGATCGTGGTTTCGTACACACTGCCCGAGCGTGCGTGGCTCCCGGCACACTCAGTCCTTGCCAGCCGGCGGGGTGGCCGTGCCACCGGTCTCATTGGTGGACAGGCTAGATGACGAGGACTTCTGGCGGAACATGTTGCGCAGGCGCTTGCTGGTAGAGGGGGAAGACACGGGCTCCAGCGTCGGGGAGGCGTCCTTCGTCCGAAGGCCCTCCTGGATCTGCTTCTGCACATCGGCCGACAGGACGCAGCCATGGGTGCTGGGTAGAGGGAAAGGAGAGGGAGCAGGAGGGGCACATGTCGCAGGGACACCGGGCGTCAGCACAGCGGCGGATATATGAAAAAGCCAGCAATCCCCGGCCATGGGGGGGGGGGGCACAGGGTGTGACATGTGTGCGCACTTGAAGGAGGTCAGCTGGCTGGCAGTGGCCGCACTGACGAGGAGAGCTCCGCAGCTGGCGTCCTCGAACTTGCAATAGCGGAGACTAGGCGGCAGATGGGCAAGCAAGTCAGTTGGAGAGATCCACACTGCAAGATGTGTGTGTGCGTGTCTGAGAGAGGGAGAGAGATACAGAGGACGGGCGTTTGACGTACTCAAACTCGCGCAGGCTGCTGTTGTTGGGAAGAGCCTCAGCCAGGGCGGCGGCGCTCTTGGGGCCAAGGTTGTTGTTGAACATGCTGCATGGAGAAGGGCCACCGGGATGCGACAAATACGACGAGAGTCAGCAACGACGCGCGCGCGCGCGCGCGCGATCAAAAGCCAGCCCCGGATGCCGCCAAGCATCTCCCCCCCACCCGCAACATTCGTGGCCCGGCTGGTTTCGACACGTACACAAGACTGAAGAGCTGGCAGCTCGGGGAGCCGAGAGCCCGAAGAATGACCTCACCGCCCTCATCGCCGATCTTGTTGTTGGCAATGCTGTGCCACGGGGCGGCGGAGGGGGGCGCAGAGTGGTCGAGAGACACCCATGTATGTTAGAGTACGGGCGGCACGGCGGCACGGCTGTCGTGACGGAGGATGCAGGGAGGTGAAGAAGCCGGAGAAGGAGGGGGGGGGGGGGGGGCGCGCGGGGGGGGGGGGGGGGGGGGGGGGCACGCCGGCCGGCAAGGCACGCACTGCAGGAACTTCAGGTTTTTGGCATTCTTGATCAGATCGGCGATGTGCTGGGCAGCCTCGTCCCCGGCGCCGGATTCCTGGATGCTGAGGCGGCGTATATCCAGGCGCAAATGGCAGCATTGGTCAGTGACATGTCCGGCACATCATATGGCCAGGTGGTGGTTCGCCATGCATGGCGCGCGCGCGCGCACGTCAGGTGGGTGATGGAGGAGTTGGCCACCGCCTGGCACAGGCGCTCGAGGCCCTTGGGGCCGATGTTGTTACGGCCAATGCTGCGGGCGCGAGGGAGGAGCCCAGCTCGCCGAGGTTAGAATGCGACGCGACAGAGGCCGGGCGCCATTGGCAGAGAGGGGGACCGAGGGGATGGAGGGCGGAAAGGCGAGAGAAGCGCAACGAACAAGAGGCTTTGCAGACGGATGGTCCCAAGGACAGCGGCCAGCTCCTCGATGGACTTCTCGGTGAGACCGTTGGCCGAAAGGCTGCACGGGGCAGTGTGCGTTAGGGACGGTGTGGCGCGGGACGGCGCGGCGCGAGCAGGATGAATGGCCCATGCAAAGACATTGTGCCGGAGGAGGAGGAGGAGGAGGAGGAGGCTCCGAGCGTACTTCAGGGACTTGAGGGACTTGGCGAAGGCCAGCCCCCCGACGAAGGAGGGCGAAAGCTCGCTGGAGCGCAGCAGACCATCATCACCGAGCTCGTTCGACTGGAGACTATTGTTTTTTTTTTTCCGCCCCCGGCCGATCGAGGGCGCGTGCGGGTGTGTCAATCACGACGTGTGCCCTGGCGATTGGAGACGCCCCCTTTTCAAGGGCAAAGGCGGAGGGTGCGTGTGCGTACGAGAGGGAAGTGATGTCGGGGTTCTTGGAGAGGAATTCGCCAATGACCGGGCCGGATGCGGGGCCGAGCTTACAGCCGCTGAAGCTGCGTTCGGGTGTCAGATGCAGGGCATACTCACGGCAGTGTGGAGGGTGCACGCGGGAGAGGACACGCACTCGGCCGAAGTGAAGAGCTCATTCTTGAGGGGGATATTCAACAGATGGGCCAGGCTCGAGGGGCAGATCTCCGTGTAGGAGGCACTTATTTTCGCGTGTTCACGGGGGGAAACGAGGGAGCAAGGCATGTCAGTAAAGCTGCCAAACATGTGCGTGTGTGTGTGTGTGTGCGTGCTGGCAAGCAAGTCATCAGTGAGGGGGTGATGGGAAGCACGACGCACTCCAGGTGGGTGTAGTTGGTGGCATTCTGGAAGTACTGCGACAGGTGGGGGATATCCTCGGGGGCAACATCCTTCAGGCTGGGGGGGGGGGGGGGGGTCAACCAGGACCAGACCGGGAGACACAGGGTGAGAATCGGTGGACGCGGAGGCACGAAATGCGGTGCACCACTCGAACGCACCCAAGCACCGGCGCGGTACGCTGCCAGCCGAAGCTCATGGCCACCAGCTTCAGCAGGAAGTCGCCGCGTGCCTTGTCGAAGGCCAGCATCTCAGGCGAAGTGGCTCCGGCCGAGGCGGAGACCCCGGCCGAGTCATTGCGCGCGACCTGGTCCTCGAGATCCTGCACACGGGACAGCAGCTGGCTAACCACTTCCGACAGGGACTCCAGCGTCAGATGTTGAGTGGGGGCAGCCTCCGCAGGGGCGGGCTTCGGCTCGGGCACGGCCGTGGGCTCGGTGCCATCGTCGGAAGCGGTGGCCTCGGAGGCCTCGGCCTCGGGAGCATCGGCCGCAGGGGCATCGACTTCGGCCTCGGAGGCGGTCACAGGCACGGGAGTCTCAGCCACGGGGGTGGCCGGCATCTCGGCGTCCGAGGGGACGGCCTCATCGGCCGAAGGGGGAGCCTCGTCAGTCGGAGCGGCCGGCACGTCGACCGGCGTGGCCTCAGCGACGGGGGCGTCGACAACGGTCGGCGTGACAGGGAGCTCGGTGTCGGACATGGATGGCAGAGGGAGAGAGGGAAAAGAGGAGGGGGGAGGGCGGGAGGAAGTGCAAGAGGGAGCAGGCAGCATGCGGTCATGCTTGGGGCGGCTGTGTCCCTCCCCCGGCGAGGCGCCTGAAGAGTCTCGCTGCCCGGGGCGCTGTGGCAAGTCCGCCCTTCGCACTGCCCGGGGCCAGATCGTTGGCCGGGCCCAACCCGACAGCCCGCAGTCCGTGCTCCGGAAATGCTTGCCCGGGCGATGTGCCCTGCCTCCCTGCCGATCGCTGTGTGGGGCTCGATGTCCAGGCCCGCTCCCGGGCCCGCCTCCGGCCGGACTAGATGATGAGACCGCGCGTTTTTTATTTTGTGGTGCCCCCTCCTGCTCGCGCTGCCGCCACGACCCGCGTGCGCTCGTCGTTGCACAACCGCACACACGCACGAGGATGTACAAGGACGCGACTTGCCTTTGATCTTCCTCTCGCCCGCTCCCATGCAAAAGATGCCCCCGGAGGAAAGACCGCTCAGGGGACTTGTCCTAACAGCTTTCTCACACTGGCCAAGTTCCGGCGGATTTCCCAAGATCGTTCCATCCCATCCACCGGACCGGAGGCTGCTTGGGGGAACGCGCACCGGAGCCCATCATCGTCTCGTCCCCGGTTGTTGTTGTTGTTGTTGTCGTCTGCACCCCCGTCCCCCCGCCGCCACCGTGCGCTGCGCCTGAACACTCTTGCGGGGACACACATTGGGTGGTGCATGGATGGTCTGCTGGCCCAGTGCCATGGCCCATCCACATACATTCCGGCCCTCTGTGGCCTGCTTTTTCCTTGAGTCGCGCCCACAGGGCAACGCACCGGGTCCGTATGGGCCACACCGCCAACAGACCCGAGCACCATGCAGCGCACACGCACTCACACGCACTCACACACACGCACTCACACGCACTCACACAGACTTACACAGACTCGCCCACACCCACATACACACATACACAAGGCTGGACGATCTGCCACCACTTGGGTGGCTGCGATCGCACCGGCCGGCAGGCAGGACTCTGGGACCTCTGATGGGAAGATTAATTATTTTTCCCCATCGCTTTCACAGGCCCCGTACCCGTGTGCGTAGGCACACCAAGACACCAGCTCATCCTCAATGCCAATCATCACATGATGGCCACTGCCAACCAAATGCCCACACATATACATCGGCACTTGCAACTCATCCCAAGTGCCCGCGGCGCGTTCGCGGGCGTGGCCCAGCCCGTCTCGTCTCTAAGCACCTCCTCCCTGCCCGCCGCCTCCCCCCCCCCCCCCGCCTTCTCCCCTTCCCGTGTGCCTGCGGTGTCCTTTCCCCCCTTGGACAAGCCCGCTCATCCTATCCTTCTCGATTGTTGCTCAGAGCAGGCCCCCCCCCGTTCACCCTCCCCCCCCCTGCAGACATGAATTTCGGCAACCGAGCGGCCGTGGTTCCCAACCTGCCGCCGGTGGCTGCCCTGCCATCTTCACAGGGGGTGGACCGGCTGCTGGCATCGGTTCGACGCCTCGAGCGTGATATTGGCGATATCGCTGCCTGGTCGGTGTTCCTCAGCGAGGTGACCCCGGAAAAGATCGCCGCCGCCGGGACTCTACGCATGAATGTTGCCCAACTTTGTCGCCGGTCGACCGATCTCTTCCCCTCCGTGGTGCGCCCGCGCATCGCCCCACCTGCTCCCTATCTCTCCCTCTCCCCGGGTCTCTCTCTCTCTCTCTCTCTCTCTCTCTCCCTCCCTCTCGCTACCTCGACCCCCCGAATACATGGTACTTACTGGTTGAAAATTGTGCCTGCGCGCCGGGCAACAGGATCGCGCCTGGCTCGCTCACCACGACGGCCTGGCTTTCCTGTCTCTGGGCGAGGCCGAAGTCCGGGCCCAGTCGGAAGATCTCTTCGAGAAAGCCACCAAAGCCTGCCTGTCGGTGGAGGTTTGGCAGCGGTACATCCAGTTTCTGAAATCCGTACGCGAAGCTGCTCCACCATCTTCCGCCGATGCCACTGTGCCGCCGCCCGTCTGACCCGCTCCTGCCTGTTTCCTTCTAGACCCGGTCGGCGGATGCCCTGCGCGACGCCCTGACAACCGCCTTCTCCGAAGCCCTCAACCAGGTGGGCCTGGACATCGGCGCAGCTCCCTTGTGGGAGAGCTACCTCCGGTTTATCGAAGAGCGTCAGGTGCGTTTGCCGCAGCCTCTTTATCTCTCTCTCTCTCTCTGTCTCTTCCTCTCTCCGACCGCCCAGCCTCGGTTGCCGACCCGTTCTGACGCGGCCCATCTTTTTCGCTGCTCCATCTTCCCCTTTCCACCTGTGTACCTCTTCCCACCCCGGCTCGCGCGCACTTCAGGTCACCTTCGACAGCGAGCTGATCAAGCGAAATGATCTCCTCCGGCAGGTGTACCAGCGCGCCATCGTCCTGCCCAACAATGCCATCGAGGAGCTCCATGCCAAATACCGCCTGTTTGAGATTAATCTCGACCGGAAGATCGTACGTCCACACACTTCTCGCTGTCTCCCTTCCCTTCTGTCTCCCCCGCCCCAGATGGCTGACGCTCATCGTCACAGGGTGAGGGTGAGCTCCGGCGCCTGTCCGGCCCGTACATGACCGCACGCACGGAGCTCGTCCATCGGAACAAGCTTTTTGCCGAGGTGAACCGGGATTATCTGCCGGTGGAAAAGGTTGACCCCGGGCAGCTGGACGCCTGGCGAGCCATCATCAACTGGGAAAAGACCAATCCCCTGGGACTGAAGGACATCACGCAGGTTCACCAGCGGGTGAAGTTCGCCATCCGCCAGCAGCTCGCCGCCCTGGGCAAATACTCCCCCGAGGCTTGGGACGAGGCGGCTCGGTATCTGGACAGCGTCGGCCTCCGGGACGAGGCCCGTCTCATGTACGAGGAGGCATGTCGCAGTCTGCCCGAGTGCCTGGTTCTGCACTTTTCGCATGCGGAATTCTTCGAGTCCCGCGGCGATCTCCCGGCCGCACGGGCGGTCTTCGAGCGCCTTGTCACCTCACTGCAGGACCTGGCTCGAGGCCATGCAGCGACGGCGGCGGCGGCGGCGGCAGCGGCGGCGGCGGCGGCGACAGCCGCGGCGGAGGCCACGGCCGTCCCTGCTCCTGGCGACGGGCCGAAGAGTTCCACTTCGCCGGACTCGCCCAGCCCCGAGGACAATGGCTCGGCTCCCGGGGCCTCGGGCGGTGGGGGCTCCTCCGCCATCGGCCCGGATCCCGCCTCCTCCTTCCATCTGGAGCAGCTGGCCGCCAAATTGTCCCTGGCGTATGTGGTTTTCATTCGCTTTGCACGGCGGGCCTTCGGCCCGGGCGAGGCGCGCATTGTCTTCCGCCAAGCGCGTGCCGCGCGTGCCGGCCCCCATGTGTACATCATCTCGGCCCTGAATGAGCACTACCTGTCCAATGACGCGGAGGTCGCTTACCGGGTGTTCAATGCGGGCCTGAAGGCCTTGCTGCCGACAGGCGCCGGGTCGGGTGCGGCCGCGGCCGCGGCCGGAACCCCGGCCGGCTCGCTGACCGACGTGGCCCTGGCCAATGCGGCCTTGTACTTGCACGAATTCATCGACCACATGACCCACCTCCAGGACACGGCCAACACGCGGGCCTTCTTCGAGCAGCTCGTCCAGGAGGGTGGCCCGATCGGGATCGGAGGCGCTGGGGCTGGTCCCGGTGGCGGGGCCCTGCCGGCCGGAGTGCTTTCCCTGCGCGAGGCCGTCTGGCGGCGTTTCCATGCATATGAGTGTCACTTCGGCGACCTTAGCGCCATCGAGAAGCTCGAAGCCCGGATGGCCGCCGAGGGGGTCGACCTTCCTCGAGGCCTGGCGGCCGTGGCTCTGCGGAATACCTTCCTGGATTTGCACCCTGTGCATGTGCGCCAGGCGCCGGCCGATGCCATGCTCGGTGTGCTGCTGCATGGCGGGTCCATCGATGGCAGTGGCCATTCGCCGCAGCTCGGCGCCGGCGGGCCTGGCATCGGTGGCGTCGACCGGGCCACGCATCTTGGCGCCGACAACCTGAACCCCTCCTCGCGGGCGGTCCTCCAGGCGCTTGAGCGCCAGCGCGCCTCGGCCACCTGCTTCCACTCGTCCCTGTCCCTGGGGTCGCTGGCGGCCACGGCGCTGGCCACCGGGCCGGGATCTGGCACCGGTGGACCGGCCGCCGGCGCCGGGGCCGGGATCAATCTCCTCTCGCAAGACCTGTCGCAAGCGGCCATGAGTGAATTGGGACGGCCCAACACCGACCTCTACATTCGGTCCATCAGCGAAGCCCCCTCGCGAGCCACGCGCCAGGGTACGTGCGCCAGGCGCATGTCACATCCCCCCCCCCCCCCTCTGTCCTCCTTTGCCCTTTCCCTCCAGCATTTCCGTTCTCTCTCCCTCCCCAGTCTCGCATCTCCCCGGTGCCGCACCTCTCCCTGACACGCGCCCTGTAGATCCCTTCTTCCCTCCGCTCTTCCCCGCTCTGCCGGAGCGTGCCCAACTGCTGGACTACTTCCTGAAGGTCCTCCCCACGGCTGAGGAATATCGCGGTCCGACGCTGGACCCGCAGCGCATCTTCGACATTCTGGCCGGCGTGCAGGTCACCTCGTCGGGTGGCGCGTCGCCCAGCTCCCCGCAGCACCCGGATCCCGGGAAACTGGGCTTCCAGTCATTTGTGGGCGGCCCCGGCGCTCGCGGGGCCCCTGGCAGTGGGCCAGGCGTGCGCGTGGCCGGGCCGCATCTGGTTGGCGGCTTCGCCGAGGGGTCGGTCCTGGATGCGGTCAAGTCGCTGCCCGGGGCGGTTGGACCCGATTACGCCGGGCTCTCGCTGCGCACGGCCCTGAAGACGGCCGCGGCTCAAATCCAAGCGACGGGCCGTGTACCGCCGGCGTCCGCCATGACGACGACCACGGCAAAGCGCGAGCGGCCGGCCGACGGCGGCAGCAGCAGCAGCAGCAGCACTGGTGTCGAGGGCGCGGCCGGCTCCTCGTCGGGGGCGGCCACGACGGAGCCGAGTGCCAAGCGGGCGCACGTTGATGTCGCGTGATCCTTCCAGAATAGATCACACCCACATTCTTGAACCCTCTGCTGGTGCTCCCGATGCCACGGCCATTCGACGAGGACGCCCGGGGTGCGGGCGAGCGGGCGCGGGAGACGGGGCCGGCCAGGCAGGGCGGGAGGCGGGCGGGGACGGGGGACGGGGGGGGGCGGGGGGCGGGTGGGCGCCGGAAGACGTGCCGTTGGGGGCCACTGTTGCGCAGGAGTCGACCGGGGCCTGGGGCCCTCCTCCGGGCGGGGACGCGCCGTTCGTTGGGGCTCGACAGCGGCCGGCTCATCTGCTGCAGTTACCGACGCGCGGAAGCCAGCCCCCTGTTGGGCGCGAGGCGGGCAAGCGCGTTCTCACCTGGCGCGCATATGTGTGTGTGTGTGTGTGTATTGTGTGTGTTGGACAGTCCGTCGTCCCGTCCGGCTTACTATGCATGGCGGGGGAGCGGCCCTGGCGACCCCTTCGTGGAGACTTCCCGCGCCATGAACGGTGGGAACCCCAGGATGAGGCCCCTTTTCGCACGGGCCCGTCCCTCGGGAGACTGGCGTGGTTATTTTTTGACGCTCGGCGTGCTTGCGAGTCTTCCAGCACCATCGGCCCGTCCCCCGCTGAAACACAGGGCGAGTGGGGGGGGGGGGGGGGGGGGGGGGTTGGAGGAGAGGGTCAGGTTGTCGGCGTCGGCGACAGTCTGCGCCCAGATGTCCGTCGCGTGTGGAGACACAGCGGTCCGGGGGCGGTCTCCCCCGGCCCTGGACCAGCCCGGCGCCGGGAGGAGGGGCGGGGGGATGGCACAGATTGCGAGACCGGCCCCGCGTTTCCCCGCGACACCCAGGAGCCCCCAGGGACTGGGCGGGGTGTGAGGCGAGCACGCGCATGTGCTTGCGGGCGGGCGTGTGGCTGGGGCCGCATTGTATGGCTCTTCGCGACTCTCCCGGCGAGGGACAGGTTGCCGCCCACCCCTCCGCCCCTTTGCCCCGTTCCCCCCTCTGGCGAGGGGGAGGGGTGGTGGGTGGGCGGGTGGGCGGGTGGGGGGGGAGGGGAGGGGGATGGCGTGGGACACGAGATCCTCTTTCCAGTGACGCAGCCGGATCC